TTTTCAATTGTAAATTGCTTATGTTTAAGTTGTCTCGTGGGATTCACTGAAAAGCAGTTGGCAACCCTAGCTACAAGTCAGTTTTCTATGGAAATGCAGTTGTAGAAGTGGTTTGATCACAACAGTTTCAAAGCTCTTACCGAGTAAATGGTATATACATGGGGGGACCCAAAAAAACCGGATTTTTTGTATAAAAACTTTATTTATTAACTTTTACAAAATTTCTTCAGTCACCTTCAAATTGCTCTCTATTAGATGCGATGCACTTGTGAAGTCTTTTTCCCCACTGTTTGGAAGCATCTCTGGAACTCTTCAATCTTGATATCGTCCGGTGCCCTTAGCGAAGCTGTTTTTACTGCCTCCACATCATCAAAATGCTTTCCTTTTAGATTTTTCTTCATTCTCGGAAACAGAAAAAAGTAGCACAGGGCTAGGTCTGGTGAATACGGAGGGTGGGGAACGACAGGCCGTCCCCGAGAGGCCAAATTGTGGGTCACTCGTAAGGCCGTGTGTGCGGGGGCGTTGTCGTGATGAAGGAATGAGTCACCTGCTCGCCAAAGTTCCGGACATTTCCTTCGCACATCCTCTCGCAGACGTCTTAACACTTTTTTGGCGGATTTTTTCTACGTTTTCATCGTTTCGATTTGTTGAAGGACGCTCAGAACTTCGCAGGCGGAACAAAATAACAGTAAGAGAAACACAACACTACGCTCAAACATAAACCTACAAATTGACGCCATTTGCACCACTGTTTTGTGAAGGTCTCTACTAACCCCACGTAACGGGAGAACTCTCTACTACGTCTACAAATGGCAGCACGCTCTCAGTTTGGTTTTTTTGGGTTCCCCCTTGTAGAATCCAGCTATACTTCAGTAATGTTTACAATTTATGATTGCAGGGTTTGGAACTGGTCACCATTTTAACTAAAAGTCAATGTTTTCATCTGTCATTATTTTTTCAAACTGTCATTAAGAGTCTCTTTTTGAAAGTTGTTACGGTACAGTATTTATCCTATTTTAATGTGCACCTTTTTCAACTTTTTGAAAATTGAGAAATGAAGTGTGCATTAGATTCAAAGTATAAGTAAGGAGCTTGAAAGCAAAACATGTTAACTGACATTACTGTCATTTTCAGTATTATAGCATGTTAAACATATTAACTGTAATTTGAACAGATTTAATCATGGTTAATTGATTTTACCTCATTTGAGTGTCAACCATCTATTGAAATTGCATTGATTTTAATAGTGAAATTATTTTAATTAAGAACTTTTACAGGCTACAAATTTTTAATTTACAGTTGCAAAATAATAAACGTACATTTTATTTTTTACGAAATACTAGATTTTATGATGATAAATAATATTTTTTTTTTTTTAATGAAAGCAGTAGTTTGATCAATAATATGTTCATATAAATTATATGTAATATCTGGCTAAATAAACTTCATTTAATGCAGAGATGTGAAATATTTCTTTGTGAATGCATTTCTATGCTTCCATTTTTTCTTTTAATAGCAATATGAAATTAATGGTCACTTCTTGGTCAGTAATTTTTTGACACCTGTCATTTTTTTAACTGTTTCCTTAATAAAAGTCTGTCTGACCTTGTGATTGTAGATTTCAGGTAGTAAATTAAAACATTCTGTTAGTTCCATTACTAAGGTATATCTCTATACAGTGCATACGGTAGACCTCGGATATGACACTAAAGATTGGAAAATTAGAAAAGTTAGAATGAAGGGAGTAACCGATAGAGTAATATTAAAAATTTGAAAAGTCTGTGGAAAGTGCTTATGAGTTATAACCACCAAATTGTAGGAAAAGTTGCCACTAAAATACAGATTGACCAAGGGACTGCCATAACTAAATCCAGCTTATGTAAGGAATAAAAAGAAAGCACAAAAAGTGCTAGTTGTTCATTCAAAACTCTTATGGCTAGTAACTGGATAAATAATTCTACAGCTGATTAAAATTGTTAAATAAGCAATACAAAGACATTTTGTCATCTCCAGGAATTAATGATTTTGGTTAAACACTACTCCAGACATCATGACAGGTTTGATTCTTTTTGGCATAGTCTGTCACATCAGTATGGTGAAGTAAAAGAATTTGAAACATTTGTAAAGATGATTATAATAATGTCCCATGGTAATGCTCATACAGAATGTGGATTTTCCACCAACAAAGTATGCTTAATGGAAAACCAAAAAGAAGAAACATTTGTATCTTAAGTAATTACGTGATGTAGTCATGTCATGTCAGCTAGTGGGTTGGGGAAATTGAATATAAACAAACGTCACTAAAGCCCAATACAGTACCAAATTGTTTTATAATTTATTAGTATTATAGCCATTATCTACCCCGATGACATACGGCATTGGTTGGCTTGTAGAAATTGAATATACAAGGTATTAAAATAGTTTATCCATGCAACTGGATTGCAGCCAAGAGATACAAAAAAGCTATGATAACTCATAAACAGAAAGAAATAAGGCAAAGAGAAAGTGTGGAGTGAGAATTTGATGGCTGCAGAAATGATGAAAGAGCTAAAGAAAAAAATGATGATGATTCATGCAGAAGCTAATGAAGAGATTGGGGACATTAATGCACATTTGAAAATCACAAAATAATTATATTCTTTATTAATTATAGAACAAAGAGTATGAATATTTTGTGATATTTACTCAGTGTAAATTGCATAATTTTGAAAAATTGTATTCAGTTTACATTATAAGGTTGACAGTGCCAATTTGAATTTCCATATTTTAATAAAATTGTTGTGTTGAATAGACACGACAATTATATGTGATGATATATGATTATATATGATGTGTGCTGCTTGGCTATGTTTTGAGCTACTCAAATATTTTTACTTTATTTGTTTTTATGTTCAAACTGGAAACACTGACGCAATAAGGGAGAAGTACTTAAGGGAGCATTAGGTTGCGATGTGACCTTTTTTTTGCTCGTGTGGAGCTGAATTAAGTTATAAGTTTCTGTTTGTGCGACAGTTTTACTACTGTGTGTTGTGATTAGTTACGGGACAAGGATGGAATCTGTGTCCATCGAAGGCATAAATCGTGGAACTTTTGATTTAATGTGATAAAATGATTAACCTACTAGCAAGTGATGTTCCCAGAGGAGTATATTTGAATTTTCTGGATAAATTTTGGTGTTGAACTTTGTGACGAACTTTTGTGCAGTGTATTCAGCGTCTAAACTCATATTTGTGACACGGAGAGTTCCAGGAGTAAGCAGGACTGTATCTCATGAATTTTTTGTTTGTATGTATGTGTAGATATTGGTTGTATATAAATTTAAAAATAAATACCCTTATTTTGTTTGTCTTCCATATCACGTGGTGACCACACTATCTCTTCCACACAATACCACATTAATTAAAGTTTATTGATGATATATGATGATATACAATCTTCTGCACATTTTGAAGCAACAATACAGGAATTTATTAATCAAAATGAAATAAATTAATCATATTTTATAATAAAGGAAATTGAACAGGTCTTATAACTGAGCTTCATTTGGTAACACCAAATAAATTATGAACTGTTTTTGATTTTGTTAAATATATCACTTGCACAAGTTATACTTTCAAAGGTTGTAGCTAGAATAACTTTACAAGTATAAATTACACGCAACTATTTTGATCTTCTTCAAAGACACACTGAACCAAAAAGTAGCGGACTCGACAAAGACACATCCCGTGGTCCTTTATTAGTTAAAAAAAAGAATAAGGGGTAAACACAAATCATTGCCACACACATATATGGGTAATTATGGAAGAGAAATTTAACAGATTTATTCAGTGAGTTGTTTTCAGTTAGTCGGGGAAAAATGCAGGTTTTCATCCTGGAAAACCTGGAAATCTCAAGAAAATTGGAAATTGTTGGACACCCTGTAAATAATGAACAGACAGGATTTCCCACTTAAAATAATTTTTTTTTAAAATGTCTGAATTTTGAAATGTAGCCCGCATTTTGATTTCAATTATTCATTTAAATTTCTGGTCTACATAGCTTTTCCTTTAGCTGTACTTGTATATTGTATGCACCACTAATCGACTTAGTTAGCGTACTAAGTATAAATCATTTTCCAACATAAAGTGGAGGCCCCAAAATCAGATTTCACAAGGGGCCAAAAATTCCTTAATCTGTATGTTCATTTAAAAACATTCATTAGTTTTGAAAATCAGATCATTTTGGACTTAAAACCATTTAGCATCATCAAATGGCTTTAGAGTCCAAAGTAGTCAAACATAGTTTTTCATTTCTTTCTTGCTTACCTATATATATTTTTTACTTTGCTTAGGCATTATTTTATTCAAAATAAATGATGTTGGTCCTTCTGACCAAAATTTAATTTACAATAATCTTTTCCTATTAAGAACATAAAATAAAATATTTAGAAATTTTTATTTATTGGCAAACCTTTGCCTTGGGGTTGGTGGTATACAGATTGGTTAACAAAGGAACACAACATTCTTTCGTCTAGCCAGCATCACATATGATGGGGCAATGGTAAAATGGAAGTGCAATAAAAAAGGTTATTGTAAGGAGCTATGAACTTGTTCTTCTATTCATATTAGTTAGTACATAAGAAAAATCATTAAAAATTTTTTAACAATTATAAATCAACAAAAGAATATCGACTTGAAGTTATTTTCAGAAGTGTTTTTATACTGGATGTAAGTTTGTTCAGTAGCCAGAATGGCAGGGAGGAGTGCTACTGTGACAAGAGCAAAATGTCAGAATATCTTAACTTTGGAGTAATAAATTAGCATGTGTAATGTATTTCTTGATTTATTCTCTAGTAATATATTAATGGTGATAAATTCATTTTTTTCTCATTATTATCAAATATAAACTTAATAAACTAGAAATTTGAACAACTGAATCAACTATAAAAGTATCTTTTATATCAGTGATTTTTTTGTTTATAATTTTATACTTTTTCTTATATGATATATTTTAAATATATAAATGCATTTGTTTTGCAGATTCTCTGTGAAGTCTGTGAAAAGAATAACTGGGGAGAACCCGTATTTGAATTACTCTCACATTTTCAGAATAGTTCCGGGGATAATGCAGAACAGTTATTTGCTTACAAGGTAATTTCTTAATGAAGTTGTAAATTAAATTATATTGTCTTCAAATAGATTAATACTTTCTTGTATTAAGAAAAACTAACTAAAAGTATACACAGATAACTATAATATTTTCTAGATAAAATAAATAATCAAAGATTTTTTTACATAATTGGGCTGCAATTTGAAAAAAGTATAGACCTATAAATTCCCATTGTCGTCGTCTCTCTGTCTGTCTTGCCTTACTTTCTAGAACAGTGTTAAATAAATGAAATTCAAGAGTAGATGTGGAAAGCTTAGGGCAGTGGTTCTCAAAGCGGGTACCACAAGGGTGCCCCAAAATTTTTAAATAATTAAATTAAAATTACTTAAAATAATTTAATTAAAGTATTAAATTAAATAAATAATTAAAGCAATTATAAAAAATGGATATTGGTTTTTTTCTACTAATCTTGTTACATCGCCACTTGTCTCAGTGACTCGGTAATTGGCGACACGTAAATACTGTACTAGAAACAAAACGAACTAGTTACTAGTTGTCTGTTCTTCTGTTCCTGCAGCGAGTAGAAGTGCAATATAAATGCATTGAATGAAGTAAGTAGTTGTTTTTATTATTGCTATATGTTCAGACAATAACAAAAAAGCATCATATACAAATATTCTTTCTTCTTTATAGCAAGAAAAAATAAATTATTAAATTGTAATTAAATTTTATAATAAAATATTGAAGTTAATTATGTCATTCAATATCACAAATAATTTTTTCATTAAAAAAAGAAAACGTGAAGATTCTAATGATCAAGAAGTGGTTACTGGTAGCAAAGCTAAGGAATCAATTAGCACTAGTAAATCATCAAAAATTGAGAGCTCTATTAGTGAAGATTTGACTATTTTTAACGTTGAGCAACAAACAAGCACTATTAAAACAAAAGAAACAGAAACAGTAAGTTCTCGTAAAAATGTTCCATTAAAAAAGAATGTAAAAACTCGCTTATATCAAGACAGTTAGACTACCTAAAAATGGGATTTATCTGATGTGATGATAAATTAATTCCCAGACCAAAATGTATTGTGTGTGGTTTGGTTTTATCAAATGAAGCTATGGTTACCAATAAATTATTGTGACACTTCTCCACAAAGCATGATCACTTGTCTAAAAATTTCTTGAATATTTCAAAGATCTGATAAAATTACAAGAAAAACAAAGTACAGTAGAGCGTCGATTTTCCGAATCAATTGGGGACTGGGGTTGTCCGGATAACTGATATTTCGGATAACTGATTTACGTGCGAAAAAATAGTTTAACGTATCGAATGTCGAAATTTTTATCTGTTGCGTGTCGCTTCGTGTTGAATTTTCGTCTATGTTAAGCCCAACAAAGACCATTGTATTGTTAAAAATTATTTTTTTATTTTGTACAAACAAAATAAATATATTGAAAAATATAAAAATAATAAAAAATTATACTTCAGATGTTAATTTAGTATCAAAAACGTAAAATATTTGAGTAGCCCAAGACATAGCCAAAGATTGAAGCGCCACAGCACTGGCGAAAATTTAAATTTGCCGACTGGAATTCTTTCGGATGATTGACTTTCGGAAAATCGACGCTCTACTGTAT